CAACCCACTACACACTGTTGGCCATAAATTTGTCGTTGTTTTTGTCACCATTACAAGGAGGAAAGAACAGCTCTGGGATTCTTTGCGGCCGCAGCCTCCACCTTAGTGGCTTCACTTCCCATTCCAAGTGCTCGAAGTTCCTGCGCCACTGCCAGAGCCACGGACTTGAAGCTGTGACCTGCAGAAATCTTGTTACCGCTAACTGTATGATACGTGCGGCTGGCACCTCCCAGAACCCCGGCGAAGGCCAATTCAATTTTTTCCGTTGACGTTACGTCATTCAGAAGGACAACGCCAAGTGACTCAGGGAACATAATAAGGTGGTTGGTCGCGACCGATGTGCTTTGTATTTCAGTTGACATCCCTGCAGCTTCAATTGTCTCTGTCGAGACTTTTCTGAAAAGCTCATTGACGTTGTTGTACTTTGTTGCCTGTTTCAGTACAAGAGTGACACGATTCACACCAATCGCCCTTGCATTTGCCACAGCCACCTCCGCACTCTTCTTAAAAGACTCCGTGGCAGCCTTCACCTCAGCATCCATATTGATACCCGCAGCAACGAAGACATCAAGGGCATCACGCAGTTGTACCTTTTCAGGGGAAGCACGAGGGAGCACGGCCCGCACAAGCACGGTCTTGACGCCCGCGTACGCAGGGTCCGGCGAGGCATGTGCGGCAGTTACTGACGTGTGCACACCAACGGGCGTCTCAGGCCCAACCACCACTGCATTTTTCTCCGCCATCGAGGTCATTGTTGTGCTAAGCTTCCCGGCGGTGGCCTTGTTGACGATAGCGGTGGCAGCCTGCAGTAGTGCCGCTGAGGCCCCTGCAGAAATGATAAAAAGCTGCTTCGACATGGACAAGGAAAAATAAACCACCGACAAAAAAAAATTCCTCTAAAAACCACTTCCACACGTCAAATATAACCGCTGGCAGCAAAGCGTAAAAAAAAAAAAAAAAAAAAGATGGGTCATAGATAAAACAAACACTCCTGCAATGCATCTCAATCGTCATCTTATGTTTGGCTCCGGGGTGCCTCAAAAAGTCTCAGTTTGCCTAAGAAGGATCCGCCCACACGATCCTGCTTTATTAATAGTATTAACGTTAGTGTTATTATTAATATTGAACATCCGGAGAAAAATCCTCATTCCATTCCACCGCCCCGGATGCAAGTAAACATACACCAAATAGGTAAAAAAAAAAAAACGCGCGCATAAAAAGTTAATGATGAAAAAGGTGACACAAGAGACAGACGATACACAGAAAAAGTACACGAGAAACAGCAACAAGTAAAAATACGGAATGGCAGTCGTCACATTTACTAGCCAATAATTGTGTAAGCCCCTCTTTATTTTATGCCAGCCGATTTCTTCGCCGTGGTGCCAGGGTCAATTGCCCCGTATTGTCGGGGGAGCCAGGAGCCAGCAACGTTTCACTCGCGGGGCCATTGTTGTTCGCGCAGGGCTGACGGCAACAGCCAGCGCCCGGGCCTGCCGCGTCTTGCAGGGACACAGCCGTAACGCCATGAGGGCTGGGGGCACGTGTCACCGCAACGCGGGCCATCAAATTTATTTGAGAAAATGAGAGGAAAACAACAACAAAAGAAAAAGGTGTGCAACAGACAACCTGGTGGCAGGGGCGGGTTCGCTACATAAATTGAAAATACGGACAAAGACGGTTGAGAAGACAGTGTGGAGAAGAGCAGAGCTGCAAATCCCCACTCCGCTCCAAAGAAAAATGAAATCCTCCATTCACTTGATTCCTTCTTGCACACAGAGAAACCGTTCCGTAATAGGGAGATGTTGGGCCACACAATTCAAAACCGCGCAAAAAAAGAAAAAAAGAGGAACTGAAGGAGTCCCAACCGTTACTCATCGTCACTTATCTTTTGCCTTAAAAAGCCATACGTGTCCCACAGCTCCATAAGAGCCAACACTGTGGGGCACATCAGCAGCGTGTGAGGAGGAAACGCAATTCCCGTGCAAAGCGACAATCTTTGTGTAAATTCCACTGCGCCTCTCGTTAAGAATCCTTTAGACTGCATTTCGTAGTATCGGACCACGGGCGATTCCTGATAAATGTCCACGACAAATGGTAATTTTTCGTTGGGCTGGATAACGTGGCGAATAGTCCCAGTCGCAGCCGATGCGCTGTGACCACCAGCCGCACAAAATAAATCATCGTTGTGCGAGTTCATTGCCATGTCTTTACCAGAGTTCGATCGAACATCTGCCGACAGCTCATGTTGATGACATCGTGTGGTGGAAACGCCGGAAAGCTTCCTCACCGTTGTGGAGCCCTTCAAATAGGAGACGCCTGAATAAGTCTTTAAAAACTCCTCCGAGCTTATCAACAGACCTAGATCAACAAAACTCGTGGTCAAGTCCAAAACACAAGCTCTGTAAGGTTTTCCTTCCCACTTCATGTTCTGCAGAACCGTGTTAATTCTTGCGCACCTTGCAAGAGTCTCTCGGATGATGCCATCTTCGGGACTTCTACGCGGAGACGGGAACACATTTATGCTCACACAATCAGCAGGCTCAGACAACACTGTAATATTCCGCCGCGTCCAGGCAATGAGTTGACTCATGCACGGAGTAGCACCTGAGAAGTCAAGTAGTACGTCACCACCACGCATGTGCTGAAGCGAATACGTTAAGTCCTGCGAAGAGCATGTCGTTGTGGACGCAATGCAATCAGCAAGAGAGCATTTAGAGGAGTTCTTCCACGGTTGCCCATCTACGGGAGAGTACAGAGTCAGTTGAAGTTTGGAGTCCTCCAACTCCACACCATTATCCTTCCACATCTGCAGCAGCTCTAGGTGTTGCCATTGGTTGTAGAAGGTACTATTCTCCGGTACTCTAGTCAAAAGATACTCCATGTGAACCCTCACCCCCGTGGATTCAGCGTAGCAAACAAGAACAGTACTCAATCGTTCCAAATCCAAAGGATGACCACATACAATGGCTGAATGAGAGCTGATAATGCGTGTCATCTCCAATTTTGACATGGGAATAACACAACATTTATTACGGTCGCACCAGCCATCACAATTCCCTGACCCAAAACTTACTTTATTTACCTCGTCAAGAAGCAGCTGCAACGATATGGTTGAAATATTGACAAGAAGCAGCGCAAAGCTGCGTTGTGAGCTATTTTCAAGATGCGTTTGAAGTCGCTTCTCCATTTTACTGTACACCAACCCAACAAAAAAGGTTGCACGATACATTCGAGAAGCATGATGGACCAGCTCTTCCTCTGTTGGTGACATGGCAACTGCCAGTGCTGCAAAAATACCCTTGCCGCTAGCAAAAAGGCCACCTTGCTGGCGGATGGTTTCAAAGGTGTCATGGTAGCCATGCAACTTCGCCGTGACGTAGAAACAGGAAACTTCATACAACAAGTGTAGGGGCCACGAGATGAGCGGATCCATAAAAAACTGCTCATCGGGAGTCCTTTGCCCCTGTCGAAGGAAATCCAAGAAGTCAATCTCCTTCGGGTAAAGGTCCTGATTGGACTTTAGCACACGCTCAAGAAACGCCTCTAATAATACTTGATTTCGCCCAAAAATGCGACTAAAGGACTCAAAGTAACCCCGCTCTATAGTGCCAAAAAGAGCAAAAACACCACGTTTTCGGCGTCGTGCAATATCAAGCCTTTGTGAAATATTGGCGGAAAAAGGTGTGGCCACTCGTTGTGTCAACAAACTGTTCTCAGAAGAAAATGACGACATCACAGAGGCAGCGTCGTCTAAAACGTCCTTCATACACGATACACTTCCCCTATTTGAGTCGTCAAAATTCGTCGTTGCGGCATCATTATCCGCCCCTTGCGTCGTACTCACCGTAGCAGGCTCACGCTGCAAATCTGATAACGTCGCTGCCCTTGTGATTTTTTTTGGTCGTGTTGGTACAATTCCCACTTCCGCCCCGGGCAGAACGCACCGCCCGGCAGAAACAGGCGCAGTCCAAAGACATTTCTCCTCGATATTAACGGTGGTAACGTGCTTCTGGTGTTCCACCTGAGCATCGTCGCCAAAAGCAAAAAGATCACTCCAGAGCATTCCCCTGTCTGTCAATTTCTGCATGCTGGACGTCAGCAACGAGCTGGAATTGCGTTTGGTAAGGTCGTTAACGAGGGCTGCATGTGATTCCGATACCCGTCTCACACTAAGTCCATGCGAGGTTCCACGAGATGCTGCTGCGCCATCTTCGATGCTAGAAGTGATTGGAAGGCCAAAGGGACGCCACCCGGTGCGAGATAACGCGGAATAATTGGTCGCATCCACTCGCAAAGGCTCTCGGGGCAACTGACCCATCACGTCCAGGGGTGATCGATCACCATGCATGACGTGGGCCCGGTAATCGTTACCCTCAGCACAGCCATCTGGCACGCCCGCAAAGCTTTGGCTTGGGTGGTTACGGGAACCATCCCTCCCGCTCGCGTGCATCCCTCCCTGCACTCCCAATGCGGCCGCCAAAAAAAAAAAAAAAAACGTGCAAAAATAAAAGTGAGTCAAAACAAAAAAAAAAAAATCTCGTAAAGAACAATGCTGTTCTCGTTCGTGTGTGTGTCTGTGTGTATGTGTCTAAGTATCTACTCTATTATTCTGTGCTTTGCTGCGCGCCTTAAAGGAGTCACAAGAGAATTGAAAACGCAGCAAAGTGACGGGCAGCAGTACAAAAAGAAAAAAACGAGTACTGCACCGCACTACAACGAAAAACGCGTAAAAGAGACGATTAAGGAAAATTAAAGCTTTGTGAAGTTTGCGCGTCTGTGTCCGCGTGTTTGCAGATAAATTAATGCGCCTTATCAGAGAGAAGAGAAAGCGCATCCGCAGGCTGAGTTGACGCCGCGTCATTATTCCCGGAGGAGCCGATGCGCGAAGAAAAAAATATAATTCTCTTCTCAGTCCCCGATGCTTTCGAAGTGCCACCCACGCCGTGCCGCCATTCGCCTCTCTTAAAAAATGGCAACGACGCATCGTGTGAAAAAAGTGCTCAAAACAGCAACCCCACGCAATCATGGTCCGTGTGAGCAAGTACAAAAGAACGATAGGCGTACCGAGGTGAAGAATCCGTGGCCCCATCACTCTTGACAAGAGCAGATGAAACGGAGGGGGGCAAAGAGCGCTGTCCCGTCATGAGTTCCAGCCCGGCAGGGTTCCAAACGACACGATCGCACCAGGCAGGAATGCGCCGACGGGTGTATCCGCGCGTGGGTATTGCTGTAATACGGGGAAGCACAAGTGATGGCTTTGCCTCACCAGTGCCTTTCTCTTTTCTCGCCGCTTTTTTTCTCCTCTCGTTCCCTAACTTTGGATCATCGTCCTTGACTCCATATTCACTCGCCTCTACATTACCACCCGACATCTCAATTTGTTGCTTCTGATTGCTTTTCGCGAATTCCCTCTCAGGAATACGTGGGAACGTTGGAGGAAAACGAATGGCGAACTCTGCCAGCTCCACACCGCTCTGTTGTGCCACCACATCCATCAAACGCTGCAGCTCCAAATCAAACTTCTTTATCATTCCCGCGTTTTGCGGTTCCGTAAAAAGTTCCCAAAATCTATCCGGTGCCTGTACTTCTTTTACCAATATTTTGACGTCTATCTGTTGAGTCTCCTTAAGGTGCTTCAGCAAGTTGTGAGTGTCCAGGCGGGCATTAAAGTCTCCAAAAATAAACAGCGGATCCTCTGGCGAAATAAAAACCATACATTCTGCCATCGCCTCCAAAAGCGCCTCCTGACGTTGCACCGAGTACAGACTTGGGCTTGTCATTGCAGCATCGGTGTTTCGGCTGTCATGATATAAATGGACGTTGAGGTAATTTACCACCACCGTGCCAAAGCGCAGTGAAGTCAGCAGAAATCCCTTGCGACCCGATCCCGCACCCGAGAATTTGCCACCGTGAAAGAGGAATGTCGGTGAGCTGCCGTACGTCGCAGGATCATCGGCAACAGCAACAAACGTGCGGTGTCGGAACGAAAGAATACTACTGATCGGGCACATGCGAGACGACAAGAACACAATCGACCCCAAAGCCGTAAATCGCTGCATGTCGCTGTTCGTCTCCATGAGAAGACCCGACGACCACGCCGCCTCCGGCAGCAAAGTCTTCAGAGCCTCCGCAAAAAAGGCGTTAAACGCGGTATTTGCCCCCTTCCCACCAATCTCCTGAAAGTGCACAACAATAACGTCAAGCAGCGGCGGCACCTCGCTGCTGGGACTGCCGGCATCCGCCGCTGACGATGCGCCGCCCTCCGCATTCAACTTCTCCTTTCGAAGGTGTAAGACAAATTCACGGCTACTCGCCTCATGAATCAAAAGGCGAAGCTCCAACAAAAAATCCGCTACACGCGTCCGCACAGCGTCGGATATTCCCTTTTTGGTTGCCGTCTCTGGACCACCGCCAGCGACCTCTTCTTCTCCATTCCCACCATCACATCTGGAACAAATACACCCAATGTTCTGCGTCAACAGAAGCATCGTGAAGGGCAAATCGGGTAACTTCTCCGCCGCAAACGAACAAGAGATGTTACTGCCGCCGTATAACGAAGATCCCGGAAGAGAACCCGCTGTTCTTGCACCAGTGGAGCCTCCCTGATGATATGACGGAACGACGGTAACGCCCGTACCACCCACGGGGTCCTGAGACGATTGTTCATTTTGCTGTTGCTGCTGCTGTTGCTGCTGCTGTGGAATCCGCAGTGCGGAAGTAATGCCATCCAATAAACTGCGCATCACAGAGACCCTGCTGCTCTTTAAATAACAAAAGCCTCGGGCGCACCCACTCAAGCTCGGTCTCAATCGTCAAACTAACAGTAATGCCTGCAGCCAGGTACCTCAACACGCCAATTCCCTCTATTCCAAAAGGCAGCAAAAAAAGAAAAAAAAAGAAAAAAAAAATATAAAAAACACAATTATACGCTCCGTGGGACCCTTTCCAAAGAAATCCGGCAGAGCAGTCTTGCCTCCCCAACAATTCACCTCCCACATCTCCAATACAAACAATAAAAATAATTATAATAACCAATGTTATTAGTATTATGACAATGCTTATAATGCTAATGATCTCAAAAAAAAAAGAAAAAAAAAATTAGTAAATTCAAAGCCCACACACACTCGCCTTATGTTTGAAATCGTTTTCCTGTTGTCGTCGTCTGTTCTTATTGACCCCACCACCCAACACCGTTTTATTTACCACCTCATGCCTCCTTGCACCTCATTCACCCGTCGTCTTGCATCCACCAACTCCTTAAAAAAAAAAAAAAAAAAGAAAGAAAGAAGAAAGTGATAAAACTAAGGATTCTGCAAATAAAATAAAAAAGCTTCGGATAGTCAACATCGTTGCGACTAAAAACAAATTGAAACAAATGCAAAGGCTTCGCCACAAAAACCCCGCAGATAAACGCGCAAAAAAAAAAAAAACGCTACCAAAAAAAAAATTGTAACAATTAACCACTATAAAAAAAGTAATGATAAAAAAAAATGAAGATGACTCAGAAAAGACGCACCCATTGTGGAACAAACGCCCATATGAACGTCAGCCGGAAAACAATTTCGTGGATTAATCCGTGCCAAAAAGGCACATCCAATAAATGAGCACACAATTCGGTCCACTTTCACAGTTATCTCCTACGATCCCCCGTCAAAGGAGAGACAGAAATGCCATCAAGAGCAATTGCCAGGGAAAAAAGGCAAACGCATAATAATGCTCCCTGTTCTTCTTCGACAAAACATCTGATTCCCTGTTTCCCTTTCTTATTTTCTTTGTCCAATTACCTTCATATCTCCCGGAGAACCGCCAACCCCACCAAATGCCAGTGCACGCACATACACAGGTGCAAAGGACAAATGTAAACAAGAAAACAAAAATATTTATCCGACCCTCCCTCATGTCTGCTTTCCCCCTTTGCTCATTAAGAGTCTCACAGTAAATATTGTAAAACGCGTTGCTTTAAAAAAGAATACATATATACATATATATGCGTACATCGCACCGTAATGCCTCAAAATCCTTCTACAGCTTGGCGGCGATCGCCTTGTATTTTTGCTCCATTTGCCTTTTTTCCTTCAGTGCGGCGTGAGCAGCGGCCACAGTGGCGACCGGCACACGAAACGGGGAGCACGAGACATAGTTCAGGCCGACCTTGTGACAGAATCCAATCGTCGTTGGGTCGCCACCGTGCTCCCCGCAGATACCCATCTTCAGCATCGGCTTCACACGACGGCCCTTCTGGACGGCGATACGCATAAGCTCACCAACGCCTTCCTGGTCAATTGACTCGAATGGATCCTTGCTGTAGATGCCCAAACTGCAGTAATGGCGCAGGAAGGAGCCGGCGTCGTCGCGCGAAAAGCCGCAGCCCATCTGTGTCAGATCGTTGGTACCGAACGAAAAGAAGTCTGCTTCCTCTGCAATCTGATCAGCCGTGATAGCAGCACGTGGCACCTCAATCATTGTGCCCACAATGTAGTCCACGCGTTGGCCCGCAGCCGCAAGGGTCTCCTCAGCCGTCTTCACCGCCTGCTGCTTCGTGAAAGTCAGTTCCTCTTTCTTGCCAACCAGCGGAATCATGATCTCCGGAATGACCTTGCAACCCTCCTTGCTCACCGCAACCGCAGCTTCCATTATAGCCTGCACCTGCATGTTGTAGACTTCGGGATACGTGATGCCCAGGCGGCAGCCGCGATGGCCGAGCATGGGGTTCATCTCATGCAGCGACTTCACACGGTTGCGGATCTTCTCCGCAGAAACATTCATCTTTTTTGCAAGCTCCGCCTGCGCCGCATCCTCGTGAGGTACAAACTCGTGCAGCGGGGGGTCCAGCAGACGGATTGTCACCGGCAAGCCTTTCATTGTCCTGAAAATGCCCAAAAAGTCGCCGCGCTGCACGGGCAGCAGCTTTTGAATAGCAGCCTTGCGACCCTCCAGTGTGTCAGCAAGAATCATTTCCCGGATAGCGTCAATGCGGCTGCCCTCAAAAAACATGTGTTCAGTGCGGCAGAGACCAACACCCTCCGCGCCAAAGCTGCGAGCCTTAGCCGCATCATTCGGTGTGTCCGCGTTGGCGCGCACGCCCAGGCGCTTCACCTCACGACACCACTCCAAAATCGTCTCAAAGTCGCCCTTCAGGTCCGGTGACTGCAGTTTCAATTGACCGGCATAAATGAGACCCTTAGAACCATCAAGCGTGATATAATCACCCTCGCGGAACACACGGCCGCTCAACGTAAACTGCTTGCCCTTGATCACCAGATCGCCGCAGCCAGAGACGCAGCACTTGCCCATGCCGCGGGCCACCACAGCTGCGTGGGACGTCATGCCACCACGTGCAGTCAGGATGCCGCGCGCCGCATCCATTCCTGCGAGGTCCTCCGGTGAGGTCTCAAGGCGCACCATGATTACTTTCTTGCCGCGCGCGCTCCACTCCTTTGCAGAATCCGCGTCAAACACGATCTGGCCCACAGCAGCACCAGGGCTCGCTGCGAGACCCTTGCCAATCGGTTTGTTGCTCTTTGCCGCGCCAGGCTCAATGTTCGGGTGCATCAGGTGGTCCACCTGCAAAGGGTCAATGCGCAGCACAGCCTCCTCCTTCGTGATGAGACCCTCACGCACCATATCAATGGCGACACGCACCGCCGCATGAATCGTGCGTTTGCCGTTGCGGCATTGCAGCATCCATAGGCGGCCATCTTGCACGGTGAACTCAATGTCCTGCATATCGCGATAGTGATTCTCCAGTTTCGCGCGAATCTCGCACAGAAGCCGATAGTTCTCCGGCATTGTCTCCTCCATCGACGGATAGCGGTGGCGGCGCTCCTCCTCACTCACGCCATGGCTCTTTGCCCATCGGAGTGAAAGGCTCTGACCAATCTGCTGTGGCGTGCGAATGCCAGCAACCACGTCCTCGCCCTGCGCATTCACAAGGTACTCGCCAAAGAAGAAATTCTCGCCAGTGCTGGGGCTTCGCGAAAAGGCAACACCGGTGGCCGAGCGGTCATTGATGTTTCCAAACACCATCGCCTGCACGTTCACAGCGGTGCCAAGCAGTCCAGTGATGTTGTTCAGGCGGCGGTACACCACAGCACGCGGGTTGCCCCAGCTGCGGAACACGGCATTAATGGCGGCGAAGAGTTGCGTCATCGGATCCTCTGGAAACGGGAATCCAGTTTTGCGCTGAAATAGCACCAAGTATTCCTCTGTGAGTTCCTTCAGGTCCTTCGCTGTCAGGTCTGTGTCAAACTTTGTGCCGCGCTTCTCCTTCATGTGCCCAATAGCCTCCTCAAAGTCCTCACGGCCAACCTGCATCACGATATCGGCGTACATGGTGATGAAACGGCGGTACGAGTCGTAAACAAAGCGTTCAAGGTGGGGTGCACGACGGATCCACGCCTCAGCCGTCGCCTTGTTCATACCAAGGTTCAAAACGGTGTCCATCATTCCTGGCATCGATGCGGCGGCGCCGGAGCGCACAGAAAAGAGCAGCGGATTCTCCACGTCGCCAAAATTTGTGCCCATATCCGCCTCGACGCGGCGCACGTTTGCCTTCACCTGCTCCACCACCTCCTGTGGCAAGCCCTTGGTTTTCTGGTATATGCCGCACACCTCCGTTGTGATCGTAAAGCCGGGCGGAACGGGGATGCCAAGGTTCACCATTTCGGCAAGGTTTGCACCCTTGCCACCAAGGAGCTCCTTCATGTCGCGATTGCCGTCAGCCTTCTGGCCGCCAAAGTAGTAAACAAACTTTTTGGATTCCATAATGCCTTTTTTTTCCTTTATTTTTTTTTTTTTTTTAATAATGCTGAATTTTAAAAAAGATGATTTTTTTTTTTTTTCGAATGTTGAGAGCTTCTTTGGTCAAAATAAACAAGCAGGAAGAGAAAGGATTAGAGTCAATTTAAAGAGTGTATTTTCTGCTTGGCGTCACCCTACAGTATGATTACTCTTATTGAAGCAGAAATTAATGCCTTTTTCTCGTTGTTGTTATTTGTTTTTTGCACTTTTGGGTAACTTTTTTTTTTTGCTACTGTTTCCAGTGTTCCCCGCCACAAGGCTGTCTAACCGTACGCAGACACATAGTTTTACATTATTATTTGTCTTTTTCGGTGTTGTTTTGTGCCGCAAGGGGTTAGCCGGTGCTAATTAAATTTCTGCTGCTGAAAGCACGCTTAACGTGTATGCGCCAAAAACAGGTGGCACCTGCGCGTCTTTGCACCGCACGCCGAGATATACCACGAGGTCATCTTGGATTGCGGCCTCCATGAAGAGTTTTTGGGCAGCAATGGTTTCCGCTGAAATGAAGAGCCGCACAATGCCTGACCCGTGTAGTTTGCTCGTGTAGACAAGATTTAAGCCGTGGAGTCGAAGGGCATTTGCAGTGTAACGCGTTTGATCAGTTCGCGTTGGTGTGAGCGTCGTGGGCATCGTCCACGACGGTGCATGAAGCTGCCGAAATTGTTGGGCAAAAAAACCATAGTCGATGCTTGCAGCAGGAAGTAGCAGCATGGCGGGCGGAACCGTAGGTGCAAGAAAATAACGGGTACCGATTGGATCGGCGTTGACTGCGACGAGCAGATCACGCATTGGTGATTTCTCGTTGTTGGTACCTGTCATCAGTTGTAGTGTTTCTGGTTCCTTCTCCCCTACCTCAAGCTCCACAACAGGGCATTCTTGCGCCAAACCAAGTGCATGTATGTTCCTATTGATTTGAAGCGCACGTACAACGGCATGTCGTGTGTATCCTTCCCCGGAAACAAGAGAGAAGTGGCAGTTTAGCAGCAGCTTGTTGCCAAGCTGCGACCAACACATACGCACCTCCAGCCCGTTGCCCTCGTCTGCTGGCAAGGCTACATGCATGGATTCCTTGTCTCGAATGTTGGGCCCCTTGCTAACAAGGTTATTAGCCATTGAACCTGCCATCTCATCATCACAAACTACACGTCGAATTAATTTCTCCCCAAAATGATCCCCCGCATCTTCCTCTTCCTCGTCGTTTTCGTTCAGGCCCGTCTCGTTGCTGTATATGAGATGCAGTGGGCGATGCAGCACCGCCGTAAGACTTCCAACGTCCGTCAAAAAGCTCTGCAGTCGGCGTTTCTCCAGTGTATCTGCCATGGTAAATGATACACCCTTCGAGAAGGTGAGAATAAGTTTTTTTGCCGCCTCAGTGTCGCTCGTAACAAGGCGCCAATACATGAAAGCGCGATCACGTACATCTGGCCGCGGCGACTGCGTCGCCATGGAAAGCACGCGTTGAAGGAAATTCGTGCTACGCCCCATGTCTTTGCATTCGCTAGAAAGATAAATTTTCATAGCGGCAGTGAGAAGTGCAAACTGCACAATCTCCGGCTGGGTGGAAAAAGACTCTGCACACATCTCCAGTATGTCCCCCGCATTTTCCACGTGTTCGGCGTGGTCGCCAAGCACCCACACGACGGCGGCTTTGGACTCGGGGCTCCGCAGCTCGTCCAAAATCTCACAAAGTTTTCTCACAACACGGAGAAAGCGGTTAGGATAACGTCGCAAAATGGTCTGCACCACAACTGCCGCTTCCTGCACAACGTGAATCATGCCGGTATCAATGAGACCCAAAAGCCTTTCGACACACTGTTCCGCCAGGGGTTCTAACTTCGCCGCGAGAAACCCAATAAGACGCACTGCCTTTCGAACCAACTCCTCATCCGCGTCGGAGGCATAGGCCGCAAACTCTGAGAGAATTATCTCCCCTACTTCAATATCGGCGAGCTCAAGGAGCAGCTCAGACTTTTCCAGCTTGATGTAAATCGGGTCATCATACTTGACAAAGAAGGGACCTAAATGACGCTTAAAAAAAAAAAACAGGCCAGTCTTCAAAAGCAAACGGATGTTGCGAAACGCCGCATATCGCACCTCAAGAGAACATTCATATAACAAAGACACGCATGCTCCAACCAACCTGGGACCGTACCTGTCCCGCAGTTGAGACGCCTTATCTTTATTGGAACCATCATTTCCATGGGCAGTCAGTGTAAAGAGAGCAGATGCTTGTAGCAGAAATGACGTCATAGCCTTGACTGCTGACATAACGGTAGCAACATTAAAAGAAGAAAGAAAAGGCATTACACCATCAATAATCTTTTCAGCCCTCTCCATATCCAACATGAGTGAATTGTTCTTAAAGGCAACTGCAACTCCCTCAATAAGATAATGCTGGTACCAACCCGGGGCATCACTGGCAGCCTCAAGCAGACGAGAAACGTTTTCTACAATAGCCTCCTCAAGAGAAATCGGAGCATGCCGCTGACGAAGTTCCAAAATGGCTGCCACGGCTGATGCTACCACACACGCATTTTCATCATGGAGCTGGTTCTTCAGCTTCTCCAAAAGTCCAAGCTCTTCGCAAACGTTTGGGGCAATGTAAAATAGTTTAAGAGTGCCAAAGGCGGCGATGCGGCGGACGTACGGATCACTGTCCTCTAAGCAGCGTTGAAGAGGGGCGGTGATAAAATCCACCATAACGGGAACCAGGAGAGACGTCATCGTACGCAACGCCGCCCCACGAATAAGTGGCGAGTCATTAACTGTATCCTTCACAAAGACCCCGGCCTGCAATACTGCCTTTTGCGGCTGGGCATGACTGTTGTGCATGAGATACAAGTATACAAGACGTTTAATAGCAAGATTTGTAGATGAACATAGAGGAGCGATGTCACTAAAGTGCCCGGACATGTCTCTTCCTATAGTCATAAAGGCGACCACCTGCTGAAGCGCAGAGAGCTGACGCGGTGTATTTTGGCTCAGAAGGTCCTCACGAACTATCGTCGAGTCAAACGCACGACTAAACAAAGCAGAGCCGCTCAGTTGGTTAACGCCGAGCATCCTTTTTTCTTTTCTCTTTACCGGACGCTCCTGTAAAAGCACAATGGCACACAAAAAAAGAAAAAAAACGATATGACAGGTATAGCAAGCTGAGAGGCCAGTCAAAATGTGTAGCCAAACTGCCCAATGGTGGAATAAAAAGTCAAAAAAAAGTGCGTGTAAGGGGAAAAAAGGTGTCAAATCTCCACAACTCCTTCTTGGGAAAGGGAAAACAGCGGGCAAAGTTTGACACCAGCAATCCCCACCCTAAAGGCAATATATATATATATATTCACTTCGTCAAATCCCACAATCCGTGTTGTTGTTGTTTTTTTTAGCCCTTTCAGACAATGAATTTCATGCAACGTGTTGCATCGTGCGTCACGTGGCACTTGATTGAGCAAAACAACGCTCCACGACAGCGCACACACTTGTAGCTCGCAGGAAGAAGACATACCGAGCAAAGATGATACCCACCAACGTGTAAAGGTGGTGGCGCTGCCATTGCCATGTAGCTCGGCCCTGGCATGGTCAACTCCAAAGGGACGGATCGCCGTGACTGCAACCACCCGCCAAGATTCCGACGCTCTCGCCCCACGTCGCTAACAGTTTGCACCATATTGACAGATATTTTGTTGGCATGAACGCCTCCAACATGCAGCTCCACTCGTGCTTGCTTTTTCCTCCCCCGAGAACGACTTTCAAAGTCACGGGGCCGCTTGACACGATTTGTGGTCATGTCCGTGTCGCCATCCTCTGATGAGGAATAAGAAGAAGAAGAGGGCCCAGCTGCAGACGCGCCATCTTCTTTCCTGTGATCGCGCCAGTCCTCCTCCAGCGCCCTGGTGTAAGCACGATGCTGCTCCATCAGACAACGGCTGAGGTGAACCCGTGGCGGCGCGGAAGAAAAATCAGCGCTCGGTTCCAGAAAGTTCATCTCTATATCCACAGCGTTCACGAGAGCCCCATCACGACGCTGCCGCTTAAAAACCTCCGCCACATTTACAAACGCGTTGTCATCACAAAGTTTTGCAAGACGCTCTTCTTGTAAAGACTGGGCAAAAATATCCTGTGCATTGCCGAAAACCATCCCGTACAAGCACAAAACCCCCAAAACCCACACTCCACCTTGCAACAAAGCACCACAACTATTCATAAAGAGGGGGGGGAAAGGCAAAAACAACAGAAAGAAATGACCTCTGTGTCCTTCAGCAGGCGCTTCGCGCTCACACTTATGCCCGTGTGCAGGTACATAAAGTTAAACAAACCAAAAAAAAAAAAAAAAAAAATTAAATTAAAAAAAAACAGCCGATTGGGGACAGGAAGAAAGACGACAGTGAATTGACAAACCGACCTATTCTTTACCGATTGGCCTTGGCAACACGCTCCACCTCATCCTTCTTCTTGATGGCATAAGAGTTGGAGCTGCCCTTCGACGCGTTCACAATCTCATCGGCAAGACACTCAGGCAGTGTCTTGAGGTTGCGGAAAGCAGCCTCGCGGGCACCCTTGCACATTAGGTAGATCGCCTCGTTCACACGACGCATCGGCGACACATCGACGGCCTGGCGACGCACCACACCACCCGATCCCACACGAGTCGAGTCCTCACGCGGCGCACCCTTGGACACGGCGTCAATCACCACCTGCAAGGGGTTCTGGTCGGTCAGCAGGTGAATGATCTCGAGCGTGTGCTTCACAAGACGCACAGCCTGAAGCTTCTTGCCATTGCCGCGGCCCTTGAACATCAGGCCATTCGTCAGGCGCTCCACAATAGGGATGCGTGCCTTGCGAAATCGCTTCTTTTGCCAGCGGCCAGCGGAGTGGGGCACATACGTTGCCGTCTTCGAAATGTGGTCGCTGAGAGCAATCTCCGTCGTCTGGAGGTTCTCGTAGGACCACTTGTTGAAAAGCTTCGGGACCTTTGCGCTCATCACTTATCCCTTTTTCCTAGTCCCAACTCAAGAAAAATAAAAGACAACGACGCGTCAACCAACAGCACACCTTAACAAAATGACATCTTCCACGGAGAAAATTGTCAGTAGACAACACGCACAGCAAAAAGAAAAGACAAGCGGTAAAATAAAAAATGTAAAAAAAACAAAACAAAAAACACCAAAGATTCATTGCATTGATTCCGCCCTATTCTTTACCGATTGGCCTTGGCAACACGCTCCACCTCATCCTTCTTCTTGATGGCATAAGAGTTGGAGCTGCCCTTCGACGCGTTCACAATCTCATCGGCAAGACACTCAGGCAGTGTCTTGAGGTTGCGGAAAGCAGCCTCGCGGGCACCCTTGCACATTAGGTAGATCGCCTCGTTCACACGACGCATCGGCGACACATCGACGGCCTGGCGACGCACCACACCACCCGATCCCACACGAGTCGAGTCCTCACGCGGCGCACCCTTGGACACGGCGTCAATCACCACCTGCAAGGGGTTCTGGTCGGTCAGCAGGTGAATGATCTCGAGCGTGTGCTTCACAAGACGCACAGCCTGAAGCTTCTTGCCATTGCCGCGGCCCTTGAACATCAGGCCATTCGTCAGGCGCTCCACAATAGGGATGCGTGCCTTGCGAAATCGCTTCTTTTGCCAGCGGCCAGCGGAGTGGGGCACATACGTTGCCGTCTTCGAAATGTGGTCGCTGAGAGCAATCTCCGTCGTCTGGAGGTTCTCGTAGGACCACTTGTTAAAAAGCTTCGGGACCTTTGCGCTCATGGCAGATATCTAATGTAATGGCGTCCAAAAAAGAAAAAAAAGAAGAAAAAATAATCATGATTCTTGTTTCGTTAAATAAATAAGCAAATGAAGGCGACATGCCCCGTAGAAAATAAAAACAAAAAAAAAAAGTGACTTGATTTCAAAATCATCGGCCGTTAACGGCATACTGTGAAATCAAAAAAAATCGTCCTCACCCCCGCTTCCCTCGGGCCCATCCAAATCACCGCCGTCGTCATCGTCATCGATATTATAGGACAATGACGCCTCATCATCCTCTCTGTCAAAACCACCACTTCCCTCCTCGTTCCGGTCGTCGTTCTCGCGCTTTGGTTGCGCCCTATTCCCAACTTCAGTTTCCTCCTCTTCGCCTACAATTCGCCTTAATTTTTTAATCTCCTGAGCGTCTTCGGTGCCAGCAAGAGGGAGAACAACCACCTTCGTCCCTCGTCGTATCGGCTTCACGATGCGTTTTCGTTTGGAAGGACGAATGCGAAGACGATCCACCGCGGCAGTTGACATGTCGCCAGTAGATTTTGCCAGTCCATATATTCTGAGTTCAGCTGGAAGTCCCAATGAATCCTCCCAGCGACGTATGTCGTGATCTCCAGCGGTAGAAACATGTGCTGCGTTTTTATCCGCTATGGGGGCCCCTGCGTCCTCATCTTTTCTGTTAATTCCAAGTAATGTTGGATAATGAAGCACATTGAGAGGTTCTTTCCCCGAATCCAAAACGGCGAAGGCACGAGAATTGGCCACATGTTGATTGCCATCAATAAAGCAACCAACAAAGTCACGGAGTAATGGCGGAGACTTTTTATCCATCACTGGGCCAACACCCTGTGGAATTGCCTCTCGTCCACGTGTTTCACCGACTCCATCGTCAATGCTTGGCACGATGACTCCCGCCGAAGAAGAAGCGGCAACGCCAGATTGTTGGGTGTAGTAATGGTACACACGAGGTGGATAAATTGCCTCGGAATAGCTGTTCACCGCCCCTGGTTGTGGAAGCCTGTCAAACCGCCCCCTTCTAAAGCCACCACGCATATCCGAGCAAAATGACCCCTTTAACAACAAATTGGCAAAAAATAAAAAATAAATAATGCACAAAGTGGCAAACAAACAAAAGAAAAAAAAAAAGTGGACAGAACGCAGAAATCCCCCCACAGTTCCACTGCAGAGAAGGTGTCTTGCGATTTGCGTGTCCACATCACAAAACTTTAAAACCCGTGGTGAAAAATGGCACGTTTGCAAATGATCGTTCCATATCGGCCAAAAGTAAAAAAAAAGAAAGAGAGAAAGAGAAAAAGAGAGAATATTTCAGACCACCTTATCGATGAATGCAACCATTGTCGCTCCATAGGGATGCATCATCATCAACATATTGTACCACCTGATGCTTCATCATCTAACGCTTGGAAAGGGATAGACAGTAGAAAAGGAAAAAAAAAAAAAAAAGTAAATTTGATAAATTGAGAAAACTAAAAATAAAAAAAAGTGGAAAGAAAATTCCAACGTCCATGTCAACAGCACGCACGCACACACCCACACAGACATATATATATATATATGTATATATTTATATAAACCAAAGCTTATTTCTATCCATAGGGGGGTGGGAAAAAAAAGAAAAAAAAGAAAACAATATAAAAAATGAACGTCCATCACCTTCGACGACGGTGACGCTCAGTAGAGACACCACGACTTCTATGGCCTCTGTGCCGGCCATCGTGATGCCGTCTTCGGCTTCCTCCACGGTGATGTCTGCTTCGGCTTCTATGGCGCCTTTCACGGTCTCTTTTTCGAGGTGGGGAAATTCGGCCTTGACTATGCTTTGAAACATGTCGCATCATGCAATCGGATCGCAAACATCGACCCCTCAAATAATCACGACATATTTGACGTTCTTTAGGAACAAATGCGAGCCTTCTTTCTTGTTCTTTTTTCTCCGCACATTCATCTACGTTATGACCACGCAAATAACAAAAAGAGCAAACCACATCACTTTGAAAACTTTTTATTGAAGTTACAGCGCCATTTGGTTTATTAACTGCGAGTCCTCGAAGTCCCTTTGGAGGTTTCCCCGGGGGTGGTTTAGGAAAAGGACCGCTCCTCTTCTTTACACTGATCGTTGCAATCATTCCATTAGAAAGTTTATATTCCTCCGTTGGAATGATGAAAAAGCGCACCTCACCATCGTTTTCAGGAACTTTATTTACAGGCGCCTTTTCTTCATTCGGTTGAGCCCCAATGAGCTTCAACAACTCCTCAGCGGAGGCTTCTTCCTGGACCTCATCCATCTTCTCAGTGACTTCCTCCACCCGACCAAACGAACTTTCATCCTGAACGTGTTTTAAAAGAAATTCTTCCGTCGGCTTCGGTGCGGGAACCGGAACAGGATTCACAGCCGGTTGTGCCACTTGTTGCGATTCACGTTGCTTCGCCTCCTCTGCCTCCAACTCCCGTCGTATTTTTTCAAAGGCCTCTTTCGCTAACTGTTCCTCTGCCTCTCGTGTGGCCTGACGAAGAAGTTGTCTCGCCTCCCTTTGTGTTTGAATTCGGTGGTTCCACCTAAGAAACATTGGATGCTCCGCCGACAGAAAACCATATCTCGGGGTCGTACGGAGAAGTTCATTGATGTCTGTGCTTGGCTTTCCGTTTTCAGTCTCTGCCTTTTCTTCATCATCCAAAATTTTTGCCATCAACTCAGACATGGCGCTGGTTGTCTGAAGCTTAATTATTAATGTAAGGTGTTGAGCCGCAATATCCTCAAAATCAGCGCGACAGCCAACAAACTGATTATTCACATAAATAATCATGTAGTGGGGCAATATGTTGGCTTTTGCGGCTGGAGAGCCATTTTCTGTCGACAAAACCTCCCCATCATCACTAATTTTTATCCCCAACACCGACAATGGCTCACTCGCATATTGTCTTTCAAGCCGGCGCACAATAATTCCATCCGCATCCGGTGGTGCGGAATTATCAATAAATGCGGTATTGGACCCACCGTATTTAAGCTTTTCAAGAAATGATTTGGCTGAATCATTCCCCTGCATCATCACTCATAACTTCGGCACAAAAAATAAAAATAAAAAATAAAAAAAATAAAAAATAAAAAAATAAAAAAGAAATAAAAAAGAAATGGCACATAAATTTACCGCGGAAATAAATATGCGTAGAAAAAAAGCACCTTCCCTGTGCAGGGGTTTTGGCAGGCGGACAGAAAAGAGAGCCAAAAGAAAAGACAAGGTTTTGCGGCGTCCTCCCTTGCACCCTTTCTTTTTTTATTTTTCTTCTTCCTCTTCTTTGCCTCCTTCCACAGCGGTGCTCGCGCTCACTCGACAGCGCGAGAGAAACGGCCGGAG